CGACCACCCCCCCAACACGACCACCCCCCAGCACGACCACCCCCCAGCACGACCACACCCCAGCACGACCACTCCCTAGCACGACCACACCCCAGCACGACCAACAAACCCCAACTACCACACCCCAGCAACTACCCTATCGCTAAATCACAGGGTGCGTATCACCCCAGCTGAGAAACCACCCCAGCCGACCCACCCCACCCCAGCACGACCCAACCTCAGCACGACGACCACGCCCAGCATGACAACGAACCCCCATCACGACCACAACCCCTCACGACCACTGGACCCCAGCCGCCTACAACCCGCACGACCCCAGCCCTATCACGACCACCCCCCAGCACGACCACACCCTAGGAAATCAGCACGACGCCCACCCCACACGGATCACACCCCAGCACGACCCCACCCCAGCAAGACCATCACCCAGCACGACCACACCCCAGCACGACCTCACCACAGCACGACCACACCCCAGCACGACCACGCCCCAACACGACCACGCCCCAGCACGACCACGCCCCAGCACGACCACCCCCCAGCACGACCACCCCCAGCACGACCACCCCCCAGCACGACCACCCCCCAGCACGACCACACCCCAGCACGACCACTCCCCAGCACGACCACACCGCCTTGGTTGAGTGGTTGCCTGTCGTCGTGGAATGTTTCGTGGGGTGTCTCGTGGAATGTTTCGCGGGGTGTCTCGTGAAATGTTTCGTGAGGTGTCTCGTGGAATGTTTCGTGAGGTGTCTCGTGGGCTGTTTCGTGAGGTGTCTCGTGGGATGTTTCGTGAGGTGTTGCCCAGTTGGGTATCATGAAAACGTGTCCATGCTCCACATGTCTATATCCCTTTCCGGGTTCGTGGGTCCATCATGTTTTCAGTGCTCAGACAAGGCGAAGATGATTGTGCCTCGCCTTGTCTTGCTGGGTTCTAGGTTGCGAAGATGGTCAGCACGCTCGTGCGTCACACTCGCGCTGCCGCCCCGTTGGCCAATGCCTCAGGGGATGCGCATCATCGTTTGCGGGACCGCCCACCTGCTCTTTGTGCCCTGCATTTGTACAGTACTGACCACGGCTTAAGAACCTGTGCCAGTCAAGGGTGGGTGGGTACTATACGGGGGGGTGAACTACTGTCCTTGCGCCCTCGGTGCCCGTGCAGAAGTATTTCGTATGATTAATATTCTGCTAGCTGCAGCGCCACCCATTCTCGACAAGCCGCGCGCTTCAGCGAGGAACCAATCCAAAAATCTCTCCTTCCCTCCCTCATAGATTCCTCCCTCCTCTCTTCTCCCTCCTCCCTTCCCTTTTCCCTCTTCCTCCTCCTCCCTACCCCTTTTTCCTCCTCCTCCTTCTCCTCCTCTTCCTCCTCCTCCTCCTCCTCATTATCCTCCTCTTTTTCCCGGAAAGGGCGGGGGCCCAGGGTTCTCTTTTAGTAGGTAAACCTGTCCCCCGGTGCCAACTTGAGGGAGGCCGGCGAATTTTTTCCCTGATAAATAACGAGGTCGAAGGAGGCCGGCGAATTAAAATTTGAGGATGTCTCGAGCGAAACGCTTGTTTTTGAAATCCCGATCGATAAATCACAGGGTGCGGGCCACTTTTTCGTGTGTTGAGGATGTCTCGAGCGAAACGCTTGTTTTCAGAATTTGCTGAGGATGTCTCAAGCGAAACGCTGGTTTTGCAGAGCCGACCGCGACGCGGAAAAGCGCCCCGCGCGAAGGAATTTCGATGATGTCTCGACTAATTCGTTTGTTTTTGTACGATTTCCTTGAATTTTGGCAGGATGTCTCGAGCGAAATGCACGACCCCACCCTAGCACGACCATACCCCAGCACGACCACACCCCAGCACGACCAGACCCCAGCACGACCCCACCCCAGCACGACCCCACCCCAGCACGACCATACCCCAGCACGACCACACCCCAGCACGACCCGACCCCAGCACGACCCTACCCCAGCAAGACACACCCCAGCACGACCACACCCCAACACGACCACACACACACCCCCAGCACGCACCACACGACCACGCCCAGCACGAACACGCCAGCACGACCACCCCCCAGCACGCACCACCCCCAGCAGCAGCACGACCACACCCCAGCACGACCACACCCCAGCACGACCACTCCCCAGCACGACCACACCCCAGCACGACCACACCCCAGCACGACCACACCCAGTCGCACCCCCGTGGAATGTTTCGTGGCGTGTCTGGTTGAGTGGTTGCCTGTTCGTGGGGTGTCTCGTGGAATGTTTCACGGGGTGTCTCGTGGAATGTTTCGTGAGGTGTCTCGTGGGTTGTTTCGTGAGGTGTCTCGTGGGATGTTTCGCGGGGTGTCTCGTGGGATGTTTCGTGAGATGTCGCCCAGTTGGGTATCGCGAAAACGTGACCATGCTGCACATGTCTTTATCCCTTTCCGGGTTCGTGGGTCCATCATGTTCTTTTCCTCCTCCTCCTGTTCCTCCTCCTTCGCTTCCTCCTCCGTTTCTTTTCTTCCTCCTTCTCCGTTTCCGCCTCCTCCTCCTCCATTACCCCTCCCTTTTCTCAATCGCCCCTTCTTCCCCGTCGTCCTCGCTTCTCCCTTCTTTCCCTCCTTCTCCCTCGTCGGTGTTCGGTGCTCGCCCCTTGTATCCCCAGGGCCATGCAGCGCGCGACCAGGGACACACAGCGGGACGGGCCACGAGCAAAAAACGTCCAGGCGCAGCAGGAGGGCCGAGCCGAGGGCAGGAGGGGCGAAGAGCGAAAGAGGTTGGCCAGTGGTCCTGGCCGAGCAGGCCGCAGCCCAGCCTGCTCGGACGGGACGACTTCGGAGACGAGGATGGGCTGTTGCGGCGACGTCCTCCTCCGCCCCTCCCTCTCCAGACGTTGTGGCGTCGCGGAAGTTCTCGGCCAGCACCGTCTGAGGAGCTAGACGTCCACAGCGCCCTTGGGACAATAGGCATCACAAGCGTAAGTGGTCTTGCTGCTCTTCGCGACAGTCCGCCTCATAGTCAGGATGGGCCGAGACCCATGAGTTGCAGAGCAGTTGCGACGACCCCGCGCAGCATACCAGCGCGAATATTGTCAAACGCGTTATACTACACAGGGTGAGTGCTCTTGTCATACGTGCTCTACTACGCAGCGTGAGTCATATCATACGCGTTATATTGCACATGCGTGTTTTGCGTGCTATACTACGGGGCCGCGAATGCAACGACAGGCCGCCCATGTTTTACAAGTGGGCGTCATTGCAACATCTCAAAGCATGGGTGTCACAGGTGCGCAGCTACCGAACGAAACACCGGATTGCGCCGTCCTGCACGATTGGGGCAATGTGCTGAGAAGGTTGTATGGGCATTGTTATTCCAACTGTTGATCCCCCAACTTCGGATGCACCCCCTGGGAGTTCAGATTCTGGTTTTGCCCTGGTCCGAAGTCCGGCTTAATCCGGCTTGATCCGGCTTAGTCTTGTTTAATCCCGCTCAATCCGGTTTAATCTTGCTTAGCCCGAGGCCCACTCCGGCGTAACAGCTCCCAAATGGGGCTTAATCCTCCTTAATCTTTCCGGCGAAAACCTCCCAGTAGTTGCCTCCTAACTCAACCCCCATCTCCACACACGCGTCACACGCGAGCCGTGACAGTGGCACGCCATCTCTTTCGCGAAGCATCTCAAATCGCTCAAAGGCATCACGAGCGCGTCGCCGAGCGTGACGGTGCTGCGGCAAAGAGGAGCACACCCGAAGTTTCACAATTGATGGCAACATGGGAAAGAAGGGCTTACAGTCAAGTCAAGACGCTAACATAAGGAACAGTTTGGGTTCGAAAGGGGCACGATGTTCCTTAGGTTCCTCCAGTGCTGTTCCTCTTGCCCTCCTGGGGCACGGAGGCGCTTACAGGGCCAAGAAGGGGCTTCGCTCCTTCTTTAGCGTTCCTTCTTTCAGCGGCCCGACTGTACTAGCACAACGAGCAGAAGGAGCGTGCCAAGTTGTGTCTCCATGCATTTCCGCCGCCGTGACCATGAATGCAGCTAGGGTGTCCATCGTCGCCGCGTGGATAGAATGCATGTCGAACGTACACAGAAGTATTGAACGTCAGGACTGGGGGTATCGATGCGCATGCGCGGATGAATCAGTGTCATTGGAGTCCGCCTTTTGAGGCATCGAACAGTCATCATGTCATGTCTTTGTGTGCTCGTAACGGGGGGTAGGGGTAAGTGTGGGGATGAGGCGGAGGAGTGGCAACAGTTGCGGTTGCAGCAGGATAGGGAGAGCGCAGATGCTGGGTGGAAGAGGCGGGAGAAGGATGAGGAGGAGGGCTGGAGGACAGTAGTTCAACGTTCTTCTGCGAAGGTTCGGGCGGGGGTCCACAGCCACGCTGTCGCAAGGCACGGCCGCAGCGTTGCATGCTGGTCGCGGTGCCTCTTAGGCACCTAGTTGGCGCAGCTTGGGTGCTGTCTGGGGTCGTCAGGTCATCTTGGACGGTCGCGGTGCCGTCGGGGGATGTCGGGGCCGTCTAACGCTTGGCTTGGGCAGGTTTTCGGTCGTCGTTTGCCCGCGCTGCGCGGGCAGCCAGAGGAGAGTCACACCAAGAGGATAGCGAACATGCCGCCCAGTTCTCCTAAGAGCAAGCCTCATGCGGCGTGTTTCCTCGACACGCCCTGCTTGCTTGATGGGGGGCCAGGGTGGAGGCCCACCGCGCGCAGGAGGGTCGGCGCATGCCATGGCGGTCTATTGCCCCCCCCCTGCGCCAATAGAGAGCTGGCTACCACAATCGTGCCCATTCTGGATGGATTGTCCCAAATGCTCTTGCGCACGCGAATGGCGGCGATTATGCCGTAAGACTTTGTTGATGCTCACCTTTGCAGGCCGAGCGAGTCCGTAGCCATTTCGGCTCAAGCCGTTCTAGCTCGAGGCAGCCCAGATGTGACCGCGCGCTTGCCGCAGGCATCCATTGTCTGCTATTGTGGGAGGCGCGTTCGCGCCCAACTCTTCCGCTCCTCCGCCGATCGATTCGCAATGGAAGATGTCACCGTGTCGTCGTTCTCGCTCGGCAGGGGCGAACAGCTGTCGCTGCTCCTGGGGGCCGCCGTCGCGATGGTACTCTCCGCAGTCTTCCTGATCAGTATGGCGATACGCGTCGGCGGCTCGGGGTTCTATCGAGCATTGTGCTGCGCTCATGAGCCTGGGGACCCAGCCACCAGGCATCTCATTGACGAGAAGCTGGGCCAGGAGCGGCGGGACTCTGCCAAGGGCATAGGCACAATGGTTGCCTTCTGGGGCATGGTAAATTGCATGCTGCTGATCATTAACCACATCGCTGCTAACCCGCGCTGGATGACCGTCGGACAAGACGTCTCTCTTATCATGGCGACCCTCCTTGCTGTAGGCAGCATCTGCTGGCTGCAGCGCACCAGGAAAGCTCTCGTTGTTTCCCTTGTCTATGTCTGCTTCATGCTGTTATCGACATGTTTTGTTTGCTTCTCAAGTGCCTCGCAGGGGCTCTTCCTGGTGGTTGCCATCGCTGCCAAATTCTTTCAGGGGCTTACCAGCATCGCTGTCACCAGCCCTGCTGTGAGTGTCTTCATGATCATGTTCCACGGTGTGTGCGTCAACTTTGCATACGTCCTCACAGAGGCACCGCCCTGTGAGGAGGCGTTCTCAATGAGTCAGACCACCTTCGCCGTCAGCGAGTCCCTCTGCGGCGCTTGCATTATTGTGCTGACGATGCTTTGGAAGCGCTCTTGCATCTTGCGGATCTCCAACGAGCTCAACTGGCTGATCTCTCAGAGCGAATCCGTGGCGGCCAGGTGTCTCCTAAATACGATCTGCGACGCGACGGTGGAGCTTGACGAGAACCTGGACATCGTTGGGAGTACTTTCAGGCTCGCGGCCATGCTTAACCATGGCCCTAACAGGTCCCTTCAGGGCACGAGCGTGGTGAACTTTGTGGATGCTGCAGACCGGGACACGTTCCGCGATCAGCTCGTGAGTGCAAATGCAGCGGCGGAGCATGACCTGGCCAGAGTCTGCAACGTGCGCGTTCGCGACAGCATCAACAACACATTCGGCGTGGAGATGTTTATTGTCTGCGTTGCGAGCCCGATGACCAGCACGTCTTACTTGATTGGCGGGCGCGAGGTCGTAGACTTCGAGTCCAAGAGGATGCTGGCCAGCAGCGCCCCGCATTTCCGCGTGGCGGGCCCGGGCCCGGGCCCGGCGGAAGAGGGCGGATATTCGGCTTCCACCCCGACAAACAGCGAGATGCAGGACCCTGACGAGGACAGGGTTGCCATCTGCTTCGACGCTTGCAGCGACGCCTTCAAAATCAGGCGCGCGACGCATGGATTCATGGTCTTCCTCGGCCGGAGGGACAATTGCTTCCTGCGCTGGCTGCGTCGCTCCGAGGTGGAGCCATTCGTCTCGTGGGTGCAGCTGACCCTCAACAACATGCTGCAGTGGCTCCGGCAGTCCGATGCGGGCCCGAGCCCAGAGCCGGCCGTGTACCCCGAGGAGCTGCACTGGCGGCCCAGGTCCATGGGGAAAGCCGGGTTCGGCTTCGCATCCTCCGTGGTGCTGGACCTCCCCCCGGACCAAGCCAGCGCGACCGTCGTGCGGATCACCTTCACGGACGTCCAGCTGGTCAGATGGGCTTCCGAGCCGTTGTAGGTTTGCGGGCGTGAGCCAACCAGTCGCGAGCCGCGCCGCCTCCCCTCCTCTTTCCTCCCCTCACAGGGCCCAGACTGATCCTTCTTCTCCTGCTCCCGACCCTCGCCGCCTCCTGCTGCACTCGGGCAGGGCTCTGCTGGAGGCCACGCCCTTCAGGGCCCTCCCCCAGGGCCACGCCCTTGAAGCCTCCAGAGCGTTATTTATCAGGGAGAGGGGGGAGGGGCGGGGGCGCTCCCGACTGGTGCGAGCCCCCCCCCTCTCTCTCTCGTCCGCCGCTGCGTCGCCAAGCGAGACCGAGGGAACGACGGAAGGGGTAGTAGCGTGGCCCCGAGGGCCTCGCCCCACCCTGGCATATTCCATGCTTGGCCGCCTCGACATTCTTCATTCTTGGGTACGCCGAGGACTGCTGTTGCGTCCTTCCGCGGGCGACTTGTGTGCACAGGTTCTCGCTGGCGTCTCCCGACGCGTCGTCGATTCTCGACCTAGGATCGGTACGATGCACAGTTGATTCGGCCCCTAGAGCCGAAACAACTATGCACCGTATCGTGTTGGGAGCGTGGCCTGGACTGAGTCTAGACATGGTGCGGTGCATGGGCGCCGTTCTCGCAGTCCTGGCCTCTCCATCTCTGACGGGGACCGCGAGCAGTTCCTCTGCCTCGACGCCCTCGGCGATGGCTACGAACGTACGGCCGGAGCAAAGCGTGAGCCCGGCAATACGCTGGCGCTGGAGCTGGCAAAGTGTGAGCCCAGCAACACTTCCTTCCCGAGGGCCATCGGGCGGCTGGCTGGACGGCAGCTCCTCTCCGCGTCCGTCGGCAGGGCGCGCCAGTCCCTGGCGCAGGGGCCTCGGGCCTCGCACCGCGATGTGGCGGGTGCCCCTCGAGGGCCCGCTGCAGGCTGCTACGGGCGAGGCCGTCCACCGCGGCGGCGCCGCAGCGCTGCGCGGCTTCCAGCCTTCTCGCTCACAGTGCAGAACGAGAGAGAGAGAGAGAGAGATACAGCTGCGTTGCAGCTGGCGCCGCGCCCCTTCAAGGCGGCCTCGGCGCAGGCCGCGCCGCAATTTCGGCGCCGCCCCGTTTTGGTTTCTACTTTTTCAACCACTCACCCCACTTCGGGAGGCACAAGCGACCGCTCGCCGCTCCAAACGGGGCTCTTCAAACTTTGCTCTGTGTGTCTTTTGCTTTCTCTTCCTGTTTGTGTGCCTCTCTCTCTCTCTCTCCCTCCCTCCCTTTCCTGGAGCACTGCTTCCTCTCTCCTCCTCCCATGAGTTGCCACCGGATCCATTCTCATGCAGTGCAGACAGAGGTTGCCACAGGTCACAGAGCGAGTGGCAACCCATCTTTGTAAAGGCGTGCGCCACAATAACGAGTACTCTCTCATATCAATGTTGCCGGTAGATGCGCGCATATTTAACGCTCTGGCTTTAATTCGGCCTCGTCTGTGATGTCCTTCGAGGCGCCTTCCGCTCGCACGGGTCCCTCCCTCCCTCCCTCCTCCGATGCCCCTCCTCTCGAGCAAACGGCATTCGCATAAGCTTTCATGGATATGGCTTAAGCCCAGGGTTCTCTTTTAGATGGTTTACCCCTGGGTTTGACTTGAAGTGGGCCGGCGAATTTCTTTTGCGATACATATCGAGGTCGAGGTGGGCCGGCGAATTAAATGTTGAGGTTGTCTCGAGCGAAACGCTTGTGTTTCAGCAATTGTTGAGGAAGTCTCGAGCGAAGCTGTTGTTTTGTCGTATAGATTGTCCTCTCCTGGGGACCTGAATTCAGAGGATCTCTCAAGTGATATGCTTGTTTTCACGTGCCCAGGTCTTGAGGATGTCTTGAGCGAGACGCTTAGTTTCACGCCTCCAGGTTGCCCAGGCAGATGTCTAGCATGAGGATTTGTTGAGGATGTCTCGAACCAGAGGCGTGTTTTCACGTGAGGCGGTGTTGAGGAAGTCTCGATCGAGACGCTTGTTTGCACGTGTCCAGGTTGTCCAGGCGGATGTCTAGCATGAGGATGTGCTGAGAACGTCTTGAGCGAAACGCGTGTTTTCACGTGTCCAGGTCGCCCAGGCACAGTACAGCCTTCGGCACGGTACATCAATATCGGTACCTTTAGCATTGCAGCCTGGCATGCTGTCTGGCACGGTCCGCGGAGCGTCCCGTGGCGAGTCCCCCTGGCACGTCGCGCGGCGCGTCCCTTAGCTCGTTCCTTAGCGCGTCCCCTTAGCACGTCCCGCGGTGCGTCCCCATGGCACGTCCCCTGGCACGTCGCCTGGCGCGTCCCTTGGGACGTTCCGCGGCGCGTCCTCCTGGCATGTCCCGTCTGTCGATTAGTTCTGGGGCAGCTACCATCTGCTCATGCAGCTCGAGCTTAAGATCCAGATCAGTTCGGTCAGGACTTGGATGCCAGGGAGGACTCGATCCACAACGTCGTAGCGTGGCACATCGCAGTTCAGCACAGCCGTCGGCACGGTACATCAAGATCGATACTCTCAACATTGCACCTTGGCACGTTCTTTGGCGCGTTCCGTGGCGAGTCCCCCTGGCACGTCGCGCGGCGCGTCCCTTGGCACGTCCCGCGTCACGTCCATTGGCACGTTCCGTAGCGCGTCCCCTTGGCACGTCCCGCGGTGCGTCCCCATGGCACGTCCCCTGGCACGTCGCCTGGCGCGTCCCTTGGGACGTTCCGCGGCGCGTCCTCCTGGCATGTCCCGTCTGTCGATTAGTCTTGGCGCAGCTACCATCTGCTCAGGCAGCTCGAGCTTAAGATCCAGATCAGTTCGGTCAGGACTCGGATGCCAGGGACTACTCGATCCACAACGCTATATAGAGCACAATCGCGGCATGGCACATCGCAGTTCTGCACGGCGTAGCACAGCACAGCCCTCGGCACAGTACATCAAGATCTATATTTTCAGCATTGGATTTGCCCGTCGCCCAATCAGGTGTCTCTGAAACCTTGCCATGCCTTACATTTCTATGTTCCTTTGCGGGTTCGTGGGCCGAGCATGTTCAACCACTCACCCCACTTCGGGAGGCACAAGCGACCGCTCGCCGCTCCAAACGGGGCTCTTCGAACTTTGCTCTGTGTGTCTTCTGCTTTCTCTTTTCTGTTTGCCTGTCTCCCTCTCCCTTTCCTGGAGCACTGCTTCCTCTTTCCTCCTCCAATGAGTTACCACCGATCCATTCTCATGCAGTGCAGACAGAGGTTGCCACAGGTCGCAGAGCGAGTGGTAAGCCATTTTTGCAAAGGCGTGCGCCACAATAACGAGTACTTTCTCATATCAATGTTGCCGGTAGATGCGCGCATATTTAACGCTCTGGCTTTAAAATCGGCCTCGTCGTCTGTGATGTACTTCGAGGCGCCTTCCGCTCGCACGGGTCCTTGCTCCCTCCCTCCTCCGATGCCCCTCCTCTCGAGCAAACGGCATTTGCATACGCTTTCATGGATCCTCGCAATTTTCTTGTGACGGCGCTAGGCAAGAGGAGAACTAGGTGCCGCCGTTAGTTCCCGACCCTTGTGCACCAGCGCTACCTGGCTGGAGCAACTGAGCTGTGACGAAAAATGCCTTCGCAGACCGAGTGAGCGATTTTCGTGTGAATTTCAGTTCTGAGAATGCCGCGCTGATGGCATGACACATGATCTTGGAGAAGGGCCCAACCATATGCAGTTGTGAGTATCGCCGTTGTGGGTATCGCCTTCGGTGGATCTCTCTATGGGGCCACGAAGCGTTTAAAGGGTGTGCCGGTTTGCTTTTCTGTGGCCGTCGTTGGTGACTCGCGGCGGAAGTCCGCCCTCCCGTACTGCCACCCCACTGCCGGTGTTAGACCAGTGTCAGAGCTTTTTGTTTTCGTTTCCCCGGAAAGGGCTTAAGCCCAGGTTCTCGTTTAGATGGTTTACCCCTGGGTTTGACTTGAAGTGGGCCGGCGAATTTCTTTTGCGATAAATATCGAGGTCGAGGTGGGCCGGCGAATTAAATGTTGAGGATGTCTGGAGCGAAACGCTTGTGTTCCGGAATTTGTTGAGGAAGTCTCGAGCGAAGCTGTTGTTTTGTCGTATAGATAGTCCTCTCCTGGGGACCTGAATTCAGAAGATCTCTCAAGTGAAATGCTTGTTTTCATGTGCCCAGGTCTTGAGGATGTCTCGAGCGAGACGCTTGGTTTCACGCCTCCAGGTTGCCCAGGCAGAGGTCTAGCGCCAGGGCCAGCATTTGTTGAGGATGTCTCAAGCCAGAAGCTTGGTTTCACGCGTCCTCGTCGCCCAGGCGGATGTGTAGCATGAGGATGTGTTGAGGAAGTCTCGATCGAGATGCTCGTTTGCACGTCTCCCCTTGGCACGTCCCGCGGTGCGTCCCCATGGCACGTCCCCTGGCACGTCGCCTGGCGCGTCCCTTGAGACGTTCCGCGGCGCGTCCTCCTGGCATGCCCCCCTGTCAATCCAACCAGTCCTCTGGGCGTCGGCGGTTTAGAGAGTTTCCTCTTCCACCCCTCCTTCTTCCCCTTCGGGGAGGGGTTTACCCCTCCCCCTGCCCCCTCCCCATGGACCTGGACAGGGGGTTCCGCGAGGTGTCGGAGCGTCCAAAACGGCCTCGGCGAGGAAGCGAACATCATTTGTTCCCCACATCCAAAGTGGGGTTCTTGTTTTCTCTGGACACCCCGCGCAGGAACAGGAACCCACCATCATCATCATCACTCATTCCTCACTTACTCACTCACTCATCATCCCTCACTCCCTCCCTCCCTCACTCACTCACTCACTCATCAGCACTCACATATGATGATGATGATGATGATGATGATGATGATGATGATGATGATGATGATGATGATGATGATAATGATGATGATGATGATGATGATGATGATGATGATGATGATGATGATGATGATGATGATGATGATGAGTGTGCGCGTGAGAGAGTGTGATGGTCATCATCATCATCATCATCATCATCATCATCATCATCATCATCATCTTCATCTTCATCATCATCATCATCATCATCACCAGTCAGTCAGTCAGTCACTCACTCACTCACTCACTCACTCACTCGCCTTGGGCCTCGTCTGTGCGTGAATTGCGATGAAGTCTCAAGCGGGAACCCCCTCCCTATGGGGCCCGCGGGTCATGTTACTAATCCGAGCGGGTCGTCCAATTCCTATAGCTGTCGCCACTTTGGGGCTTTCGCGCTGCCAGAACGCCATTCCCAGGCCACATTTGTAAGTGAATTGCGAGGAAGTCTCAAGCGGGAGCCCCCTCCCTATAGGGCCCGCGGATCAAGTTACTAATCCGAGCGGGTCATCCAATTCCCTTAACTATCGCCATTTTTGGGCTCAAGCGCTGCCAGAACACCATTCCCAGGCCACATTCATGAGTGAATTGCGAGGAAGTCTAAAGCGGGAGCCCTTTCCTTATGGGGCCCGCGGATTATGTTATTAATCCGAGCGGGTCATCCAATTCTTGTAACTGTCGCCACTTTTGGGCTCTCGCGCTGCCGGAACGCCATTCCCAGGCCACATTTCTGAGTGAATTGCGAGGAAGTCTCAAGCGGGAGCCCCCTCCCTATGGGGCCCGCGGGTCATGTTATTCATCCGAGCGGGTCGTCCAATTCCTGTAGCTGTCGCCACTTTGGGGTTCTCGCGATGCCAGAACGCCATTCCCAGGCTACATGTGTGAGTGAATCGCGAGGAAGTCTCAAGCGGGAACCCGATCCCTATGGGGCCCGCGGATCATGTTACTAATCCGAGCGGGTCATCCAATTCTTGTAGCTGTCGCCGCTTTTGGGCTCTCGCGCTGCCAGAACGCCATTCCCAGGCCACATTTTCAATGCCCGGAGCCAGCTGTAGGCCACTTCGTGTTCTTCGTGCTCCCAGAACACCATTCCCGGGCCACATTTTGAATCCCCAGAGCCAACTGTAGGCCACTTCGTGTTTCTCGCGTTCCCAGAACACAACTCCCGGGCCACTTCCTGAATGTCCGGAGCCAAAACAGGAGGGCGAGGTCGGGGGCAACATAGGGCGCGGGGGGAGGGCCCGCGCCAGGGCGAGAAGAAATATACGCAGAAGAGACAGCCAGGACGCCTCACCAACCACGAGGACGACGGTGAGGGCTTTTTCCAGATTCGCCCAGAGGATTCTCATGTGGGGTCCTTCCGTCGGAGTAATTTTGCTTGGGTTTTGGCTCCATTTTGGCCTCCTGGGGGGGGGGCGTAATTAAGGAACCTCCCTTTGTTGACCGATATCATCCAATATGGCACAAAGAGAGCCCCTAAAGCTTCCAAGAACGCCCCGACAAGGCCCCCAAAGGAGCTTAGACGGGCCCAAGAGGCGCCCAGGAGGCCCCAAGAGGCCCCAGGATGGCCCCAAGATAGCCCCACAATTGCCCCAAGAGACCCACAAAAGACCCCCAAGAGGACCCCAAGCGGCCTCCCCGAGGCACCCAAGACGCCCAAGAGTCCTCAGGACCGCCAAGAGACCCCCGAGACGTCCCAAGAGGCTTCAAAACAACCGCCCACGAGATATCCCAAGGGGCTCCAAGAGGCATTCAAGAGACCTCTCAGAGACCCGAAGAGGCTTCACGAGGATCCCCGAAGCCCCCAAGATCCCCCCAAGACGCTCCAAGAGGTTTCCAAAACAACCCCCAATATACATCCTAAGAGGATCATATGTCCGCCCTGTTTGCTCCTCCTTCTCCTTGTCCTTCTTCATCTTCTTCTCCTCCTCCTCCTCCTCCTCCTGCTCTCCTCCTCCTCCTCCTCCTCCTCCTCCTCCCCATTATCCCTCTACTCATCATCCGAGAACCAGCACCATCACCAACACCAGCAGCACTAGCAACAGCAACAGCAGCAGGAGTACCAGCAGGAGCAAGAGCACCAGCAATAACACTTGCAACCTTCGCCCCAAAAGATCTCCCAATTCACCGTTGTTGCCCGCTCCGGCTCGCTATGTGAGTCTCTTCTTCTTTTCTTCCGTCAGCTGTCCTGGGCATCGTTTCTGGATGGGCTGGTGGGGATACTTCTAGTCAGCGGCCGCGGGCGAACACGCCGGCGGCGAGTCCAGTCAAAGCGGGGCACGCAGCGACAACTTCACCTTAAGCAACGGAGGGCGGCCTCCTAAGCGGCTTAGCGGTGCCTCACGCAGCACCTCAGCGGCGGACCGGCGAGTGGAGGGGGCAGCTGAAACTGAGTCGTACTGCCAGCGTGCAGGTATGCAAGGCGTCGGAGTCACCAGGTAGTCGGAGAAGGACGACCAGGGGCAGAAGCCGAGGGATTAATGCAAGCGCGCGAACACTGGACAACTGCGGAGTACCAGGGTGGCCGCAGCCAGAGGACCGCCGGTCAAGGTCGAATTGATGCCGAAATGGGCGACAGCGCTGGCACGCTGCGAGAAGCCAGGGTGTCCGAAGCCGCAAAGTCCACGGCAGCAGAACGCACGAGTACGAGCAGGAAGACCCGCGACTGAGACCAGGGATGCGACCGCAGCGGTAGGAGCACAAAAGTCGGAGCGGTGTCGTAGACGGCCGACGGCCCCGTGGAGGGGAGGAGAAACCGGGACTTGGGCGGAAAGTGAGAAGCCATTGCGGTGGGACCGACGGAGAGAGCGGAGGCCAAGCCGAGGGGGGGGGGACACCCCGACCCGGCGGGCCGCCCAGAGGCGCGGGATAGGGACGCGCTAGGGGTGAAAACCAATACAGCAGGCCGGAGGCCGATAGGGGACAGGCGGACCACGGCCCCAGCGGTAGCCCACGAGTCAGTATTGTCAGCGTGCCACTGCTCAAGTTCCCAAGGGCGGGGAGCAGTGGGGGCTGGGCAGGGAGAGGCACCAGGGAAGGAGCACTGCCTGCATGTCAACCGGCGGCCGCAGCAGGGACTGCGGCGGACACGTCCGGGGTGAAACAAAGGGGGGGGGGACAGGTGGACCACGACCCCGGCGGAGGCCCACGAGTCAGTATGGTCAGCAGTCCGCTGTCCCAGTCCCGTGGGCCGGGAGCCGGCTTCCCTCCATGTCCGGGGGCAGTGGCCATGCGAAGTTGTCGAGGCATCCAGCCGCCGTGGTCGACGTGAGGAGAAAAAAAAAAAAAAAAAAAAAAAAAGTCCCGTGGGCCGGGAGCAACGGGGGCTGGGCAGGGAGTGGTGCCAGGGAAGGGGCACTGCCTGCAAGTCGGACGTCGGCCACAGCGAATGCTGTGGGAGGGCGCGTCCAGGGTGATACACGCGGGGGCCGCCGTCGGAGGTCCCCGCCCAAGCCCCTGAACATACGCGATGTCGGAGGTCCAAGCCAGGGGCGGCAAGCGACCGCTGCAAGCTGCACGAAAGAGGCACCGACACCTTTTTGTCCTCACGGGCCCCAGTTTAGGCGATAGCGATAACATCGGACCGCGTTCGTTATTGGCGTAACGGGCCCGTTTTTTAATTGAAGGATCGAAGGCACAGCCACGGCGAGCCCGGCAGGCCTGTGATCTGCACATTTGCAGAGGATAGCTGCGGTCGGTTGCCCACTGGGGCGTCAGGTCGGCGTCTGGCCAGGTGCGTCGGGGCAGGTTTGGCTGGGTAGCCGGCGGCGGAGCCAACACAGTGCCATCGAAGCGCACGTGATCGCGATGCGGCGCGGCGGGACCTAACGGGGCACAGGGGGTGGGGCATCATAGCCATGTACATGGGCGCTTGTCCCCACTCCCGTCACTGCTATCGTCACCATCCCACTCGCCTGCTGCCTGCCAATCGTCGCCGTCCCAGGCCTGCGACCATGACCATGAGTCCCAGACCCAGGGTTGGCGGGAGCTTGTGGTGTATCCCTTGTACTGTGGGGCGCTGGTGCTATGATATCCTGACCACTTGTCGCGCTCCCATTCCCATCTGACCTGGAGCCCAAGTTCGCGATCCATCACGTAGCCATTACACCCGCAGCGCTTCCAGGCGTCAAGGAAGGCATGGCACGTGCCCTCGGGGTTTAGCGCGGGGTCACTCTTTGGGCCGTTGGCCCCTGCTGGGTGCATGCGGGTGCAGGCATGCCAGATGCTGCTGAACACTCCCCCGAGGGTCTTTTGGAGACGGGAGATCTTGGCTGAGGGTTGCTCCGCAAACTTGTCGAGATCGACATTGCCCAACCGTTCCTTGCACATGGGACCCCCTCCGATGGGGTCGACGAGGTCGTCAAAGACCCGCTTGGAGCCCCATTCGCGGGGGTTGGCGAGCGGCGGTCTCGAGCTGGCTGTTTGGGGTGGGGCCCGGGGGCCTGGGGCGGGCTGACTGGAGCTGCCTGGCTGGGAGTAACGATCGCGCCGCCCTGGGGGGGGGGGGGGCGGGAGCGACTGTCTGACGCTGCTGCTGGGGCGCTGCTGTTCTCCGGCTTGCAGGCAGGTGAGGGTTGCGTCTGCGGGGGGTCGTGTGTCACCATGGGCGGTGGGCTGGCGCTGACCTTACCCCTCGGCTGGCGTCGCTCAGGCGGGCCCTCGCTGAGGCGTCGGGCGTCTGTCCGAACGCCCTTGGCGGGTCGTCGGGAGGGCTGCCTCCAGCTTCTTCGTCTGCTGTCCTGGACGACGGAGGAGGCGGGGGGCCCTCAGGGCCGACCGTGCCGTCTGGTGTGCCGCCAGCGGGGGGGGGCGTGGGGGTCGGGGGGCGGCGTCGCCTTTTTCTTCGTCGTAGTCTATCCCTTCGACCTCCGCCTTGACGGTGGGTGCTGGGCCCGTCGGGGAGCAAGCTTCCTCTTCGCGGGGAGAGGGACCTGGCGCTTCGGAGGGGGGCGAGGTCTGCGCGGGGTGCTGAGAGCCCGACGTCACTGCTGGCTGCGCCGTACGTGGGGGCAGCGGTGGCTGGGGGGGCGTCGCACGCCGATCTGGCTACGCGCGTGGGATCCGGCTGCAGCCAAGCTATCGTGGAATCCCCCAGAGGCGGGGCGTTAGCTTCGTAAACGCATGGGGCCGAGGGGTCCGGCTTCGCCAAGGTGGTGATGGAGGTGGCTGCGAGTGCGCTGGAGTCCAGGCTGGCGATGAAGCCGGCGAGGGCTGCGAGGTCATGGCGGAAAGGGGTTCTGCCCCCTGGTGGAAGCAACGCCCCGGTGAAAGGTCGCCCAGGCAAGGCAGTACTTGGGATTGTGCAACAGGTGCCCCACTACCCTGGCTGCAGCCCACCTCTTGCCATCCCAGGTGGCGCCGTCGGGGAGTCCATTGTCAGGGACCTCAGGGCCGTGCACCTCCCGCAGGAAAGGGGCAAGCTGGCGAGCCGACCGCGAGGTCTCCAGGTCGCTCGGGGCTGGAATATCGGCGTAGTAGTCCTTGGCGAAGTTCATCCATTTGTCGTCCAGCGCTGGGTGGTAGTCCCGCAAGTGGGCGACCAGGGTGTGGTGGATGTCTTTCTGCTTGTCGCGGCGTCCATGCTTGGGTACGTTTCCCTCTTCGAGGGATAGAGCTGCAACGTTCCTGCGACCTACTTTGGGGACCTCCGGAGGACGTGAGTCTGGGAGAAGCGCCAGGATCTCGGCAACCGTGCGCCGGTTCGAGCTGCCCCGCGGTCCGCCATCATTGCTCCTTCCATCGCCCTGCTGCGTGCCCACTGGGGGGAGGCTGCGGGCGCGGGGGTCGCAGGCGTTCGCGCCCGCGGACGCCGGTGTGAGGGGGGCTGCCAGGTCTGGGGCAGTTTCGCTAGGGTCCGCTTGGGCTGTCTGACGTGGGCGGGCTGTCGGCTGCCGCGGGAAGACGTCGCCGGAGTCGCGGTCCATGATGTGGCCCAAGGTTGCGGGGGCGACGTTCCAGATGTACACCTAGGCACCTGCGGCAGCACCATGTGGCGATCCACTTGCGCTGGACCCACGAGAGCGGCCACTGGTCCCAGCTGGGGAGGCCTGTTGTCCTGGGGCCCGAGGCCTCGGGCTCAGCCTTCCAGAGGAAGCAGCCGAGCGCTGGCGCGTTCACCTTCCAGACCAGCAGGGGGCCTGAGGGGGGGCACGTGTCGCACTTGGCGGAATAGGAGCTTGTTTTGGAGGCGTCTATGCCAAACCTTCCGTCCGTGACCCTAATGGCCGGGATCGTGGTGTTCGCGGACCGGGGGGCGTGAGGTCCGGATGGGGTCATGAGGAGCTCGCCCAGACGCCTGGTCTCTCCCTCGGTGGGGTCGCGCCAGTATCCCAGGGGCCCCGGGCAGGGGGGCGGTGGGGGGGCGCGGGCGACTGGGCCCTTGTCGCGTCCGTTCCGCCACGATGTGTGGTCGGAGACTTTGGCTGCGACGGCCGCGCCTGCAGGGCTTGGGGCGCACTGGATGTTGAGGTGAGCCACCCAGGAGGTCTCGCATAACCGGCTGGGGTTCTTCCCGCCCAGGTACGCTTGCGGCCTGCTGTCGGGGGCGGAAAAGAGGGGGGTGATGACTAGGGGGGGGTGAATATCATGGCGGGGGCCATGATATTTCCCCAGATTTCATGGCGCCTCTTCTTATCTCATTACGTCCCTGGTCCCCCCGCTGGGCCGCGCACATGCCGCCGGTCATGATTTGCACCCCCCCCTCTTGGACACCCCCCTCTTGGCCGCTCCCGATGCTGCTGGCCAGGAGATCCCTGGCGGAGTCGCCCTCCAAGGTTCCGCCGGCGCGCTTTGGCTTGTAAGTCTGGCAGCGGTCGCAGGTGAGGGAGGCGTTCTTCTGGTCGCACTGTAGCCTGTCATCGGTGATGGTGGGTGGGTTCAGCTACATGCCTGGCGCGGGGGCGGGAGGTGCGGGGGGCGACCGGTCGGTTTTGGAGAGGGCTGTGGCCCCCCCAACGTTCCCGAGGGCAGCGTCAGCCCTGTTTTCTCCCAGGCCCGAGTCGGACCCGGCCAGGGCCGCGTGGAGGGCGCAAATTGAGCACTTGTCTGCGAGAGGGTCGAGGTGCGCAGGGGGGGCGATTGCCTCCAGGACCAACGTCGGGGCCTTGAGCTTGAAGTCGGCGCCTTTCTGGCTGCGTCATGGTGGTGGGCGTTCGTCACCAGCTTGGAGACTTCCGAGAGTGCGTTTTCGATCTTCCCATGCAGGTCGGTGAAGTCGTCCACTGTGAGACCCCATGCTGCTGCGAACTTTTGTCGGAACTCTAGGTGGGCGTCTCGCCAGGGTACACATAGGCCGAGCACGGCCTCGATGACGTCTCCCGCGCCCTCGGCGTTTGCGAAAGGCCAGAGAGAGGTCCTGGGCTCTCTTATCATGAGCATCATGACGACCAGTACCCAGAGGTCTTCAGGATCTAAAAATAATTTCCTGGATCTAGGATCTTATTTTTATATCCCAAACCCTATGTTTTAGATCCTCGGTCTAGGATCGAAAAATTAGATCCCAAACCTTTTGTTTTAGATTCTGGATCTAAAAATAAGATCCTAGATCCTGGATCTAAAAATAAGACCCTGAATATAAAAATAAAATCCTGGCTCTAGAATCTAAACATAAGATCTTGGATCTAAAAATAAGATCCTGGATCTGCAGAAAGATCCTGGATCTAAGAAATAAGGTCCTGGAAGAAGCATAATATCCTGGAGCCCATCTATAACACATGACCTTGGAACACACCAAACAAGCGTAGAAATCGTATCCACTAGAGCACTGTGTTACAGTGTTGGTTCCAAGTGGTTGAGGCATTAAGCATTTCCCATCACGTCAACAGAAATGCACGGCCAGACAGGCGAACGCAGACACAACACACGCACGCGACTTCATATTCGTAGGCATGTTTATATATACACAAACATGCGCATGCATTGCACGTGCAAATCGGATCCCGCTCGATACCTCCTCACCATGTATTGCGACGTCGCGCTCTCGCTGGAGACTTCCTTGCAATTTACAACAGAATCACGCTCTCGCGTTGGACTTCGCCTGGGACCCCCACGACGTCGTCTGATTATTTGCGGCGGGCGGGGGGGGATGCGCAATGCGTTCGCTGCCTCGGACCGACGGAGGTGTCAAGGTGCTCCTGCTCCCCCTGCCCCGTTTCGCTCACATAGGTTATTGGCCCAAGACGTGAAGAGACCAGCATCTGCCCAAGAGGCGGACGCACCCGGCGAAGATAGTATACTGGACCCCTCGCCATCCCCTGATTCCGCCACCCATGATGGTAGGCCACCACGTAGGAGTTGCAGTGATGCGGACGGGGTTGCGGAAGTTCCGATGGCTCACTTGCCGAACGCAGCGAAGTTCAAGTACAGAGAGGAGAACGATGGCAGTCAAAACCATGACGCGTTCACTCAATGGAAAGACCTCATCGCAGTGATGAAGCAGGGTGGTGGAACATCTGTCACCCCGAAGACTGCCACCGCTGCTTTCGCCACCGTCGCGAAGCGCAGCCAGACCGAGAAAAACTGGCAGGTGGTTAGATCGGAACTCACGGATAGGTCAATGTCCCAGGGTAGAAGGCTCAGGGCTGTGCTCCGCGACGTGGGGCAAGGCTTTATCAAGGCCTGTTCGCGTCCTCACAAGCTAGCCTCAGACTGGCCATTACCCTTTCTGGCTGTTGTTGGGGTGCTCGGGGATGGAAAATATGGGCCCTGAGTCTTTGTGATTGTTATGCTCGCAGCAGGTTTGTAGATCTGGCGCGCGCAGATGCCAATCCATCACGTTCCATCGCAGTCCATCGCGCCGCGATGGAATGCGATGGATGGCGATGGAACGCAATGGTTTGGTATATGTGCGCGCATATCCCTTTCAACGATTTGCGAACTGGCTGTGACCTGCAGGGCCCGGTGGTGATAAGGTTCTTGCCGTCCCGCCAGATGCAACCGTGTTCTGCGCCCTCTGGTGGGCACGGTACCTCGCCTGCAGCTGCGGCGTCTACGCCTGCTGGCGGCGGAGGGCCAGCCGTCGACGTCTTCGAGAGGTACGACTTCGAGTGCGACAAGGAGTTGCAGGCGAGGCGGGATCTAACCATGGAAGCTCAACATTGCAGCCAATATCGCAATGCCGCCTCCCCCCACTGTGGAGGATGATGGTCTGGCAGCTTATGATCGCGAGGATTGGGAGGATGATGGGGGAGATGACATGCAGCATGGCTTCGGTGGGGAATCCGTACTGGAGCGAGAGTGGCGTGCCCGGTCGAGTTGAACCTCCATGGTAGTTTCTGCGCAGGCAGGTTGGAGATGGACCGTGATGAAGAAGGCAGACGGTACCACTTTCCGCGTGGAGGCGTCGAAGCAGAAGAGCACGCACGCGCCAGAGGCCCCCCCGACCAAACGCAGGGCCAGAATAATTCGCAGTCGTTTGGTTCTCGAACGAGACTGGCGCTGGACAAATCCGACCTTGAGCGTCGGGGAGCTGGAATCGCGTCCTGAGTCGACCAAGCCCAGCACAACCATTTCGGAGGCGTACTGCAAGGACAAGGCCAGGGTGGTTCTCGCTGGAACGAGGAGTTCGCGAACGTTGAGAAAAACAGGAAGTACAAAAAGATGCTGCATTTTCAACACCGTGGACATGAACGCATTCGCCAAGTCACGCAGGTGGTCGTTTCAGATTTGCCAGAGCCGAAAGTCAATGAGGCGATCAACCACATGACAAGCTCATGGATCAGTTCGCCGCTGGCCAGGTGGACACTGACGGGGCGAAGAAGCGGAAGCGCGAGTGGGAGGTGGCTTTCAAAGCAGAGGGAGATGCAGGAGCTGGCGGCACGGACTCACCAACGTCGACCAAGTTGGAACGCCCAGCCGCAGCATTACGACGACCAGCAGCCGCCGAGCCCCCACCAGACCAGCCACCAGCAGATTAAATTCCGCAATCACCGCTGAAGAGGAGGCCCGCTGCTTCATCGCAGGACACCTTCGTCAAGACTCCGAGTCCGAGGCGTTCGACACGTGGCACAGGGACGGCGGTCTCTGAGGTGGTCGCCCCGAAAGCTAATCAAATTCCTGCGTCGAGCGATGCCTCTGGCGACTGAGGTTCGGTCATGTCAGGTGCCACTCAAACACACACACACACACGAAGTCGGATCGACATCGATGGGCCCACATTCCCGCCTCACCCCTTCGAAGGCAGGGGGAGTGGCAATTCATGTAGTTTCCCCTCCACTCCGCCCGCCTCCAACTGGAGTGGGGGAGTGAGGGAGGAGGCGATGGAATGGAGGGGAAACTATAGGAACTGACCCTCCCTCTGTCTTCCCCTCCTCGCCCTCTCCCTCAACCCCTCGCTCTCTTCAACCCCTCGCTTTCCCCTCCTTCCCTCTCCCTCATTATCCCTTTCGCTTCCCTTCCTTTTCTCCCTCGAGCTCCGATCTCCGCTCCCGCGGTATTTCTGGTTCAGGCCCTCATGAGGAATAGTTTCTCTGTAAGGCCGCGTGGCTTCTGGAACACCCCCCTTCGCAACGCTGCTCAAGAGGAACGCCATGGCAGAGGCTGTGGTTTCGAAGCTGGGGAGGGGAGGACAGATGCTAGATGATAGATGAGGTCATGAGAACGCAAACGACCATGACAGGGTAGGGGAAACGCAGATGAACACCGCCACTGGGGGCCTTCGGTGGACTCCTTGTGGGGCCAGTGACCGCTGTACTGGGTGGGGGAAACGCCCGCGAACACCATCATTGGGGCCTTCGGTGGAGCTCCCTATGGGGCCACGAAGCGCTGTAGTGGGGGAAGGGAATGCCTGCCAACACCGCCACTGGGGCCTTCCGTGGAGCTCCTTTTGGGGCCACAAAGCGCTGTACTGGGCATGGGAAACGCATGTGAACACCGCCACTGAGGCCTCCGGTTGAGCTCCTTATGGGGTCACGGAACGTGTGAGGGGTGTGCCGTGGAGGGGGGCGGCATGCGAACCATGCCATTTGGACCTTCGGTGGAGCTCCGTATGGGGCTCCCAAACGTTCGAGGGGTGTACTAAAATGGAGGGGGGGTGGCATGCGAACCATGCCAGTGGGGCCCTTCTGTGGGGCTCCATATGGGGCCACGAAGCGTGTGACGGGTGTGCCAAAGTGGAGGGGAAACGACATGCGAATCATACCTTTTGGGCCTTCGGTGAGGCTCCCTACGGGGCCACGAAAGGTGCGAGGGGCGTGCCAACGTGAACGGGAGGGGGCGGCATGCGAATCATGACACTGGGTCCTTCCGTGGAGCCCCCTTATGACGCCACGGAACGCGTGAGGGGTGTGCCAGAGTGGAGGGAGGGCGGCATGTAAACCATGCCGTTGGGGCTTTCGGTGGAGCTCCCTACTGGGCCACGAGATGTGTGACGGGTGTGCCAAAAGGGAGGGGGCCGGCATGCGAACCATTCCAGTGGGGCCTTTGGTGGAGCTCCCTTTGGGGCCACGGAACGTGTGAGGGGTGTGCTAAAGTGGAGGGGGGGCGGCATGCGGGTCATGCCACTGGGGCCTTCGGTGGATTTCTGCATGAGGCCACGAAGCGTCTGAGGGGTGTGCCAAAGTCAGGGCAGAGGCAAGGGCAAGGGTAGGAGGAGGGAGGAGCGGGAGAAGGAGGAGAAAGAGGAGACGCGGGGACTGTCTGTTCAAAACGAGGGCCCAAGACCACATGATGGTTGGGAAGTACAGGTGCGAGGTCACCGACGCCCGAGTTCGTTGCAAATCGCAGCAACCCTCTCTCTCACGCCGTCTCCCCAATTATGCCCCCGCTCGGTCGAAGACTGCAATTGCAGAAAAACCACAGCAACACCTCAGCGTCGCAGTCATTAGTCACATCCGAAAGTGGGATCTAACATCGTTGCATGTGCGATGTCGTTGAATTCCATCCTAAAGGTGTCACAGTGTCACTGGGCAGTGCCTCGGAGTGGAAAGTGACCCATGCTTGGCGGAATTTGTACAGGCAGTGGTTTCATTCAAGAGGTTCTCGCGGAGGTTGAAGGCTTCGGCGAAAGGACTGGACCGATTTCGGTAGGCGACCGGGTTCACGGGCTCTCGAGATTGCAACGATGTGGCGTAATTGTCAGGCCAAGAGCGGTAGGCGGTCGGGTTCCTGGGTTCCCAGGTTCCGGTTCTGGATCAGACATCCTCTCCTATTCCAGTGGGCGGCCAGGTTCCGGGTTCAAAGGGTAGCGAATACAGAGAAAGAGGCAGAGAGAGAGAGAGAGTGAGGGAGAGTAGAGAGATCGGGTCATCGAGAGTAGAGTAAGGAGAAAGAGCACAGAGGGCAGAGGGAGTAGAGGGTAAGTAGTAGAGGGTGGATCGCAGAATGCATGGAGCAGAAGGCAGATAGCAGATGCGCAGAGTAGACAAGAAAGAGTGGAGCGGCGACAGTGGAGCGCAGAATTTAGAGAAAAGAGAGTGGAGAGTAAAATGCGCATGTATACACATGAAAATGTAGAGAAGAAAGGGTAACCATACTCAGATTCTACATCTACGCTCGAACATTTGATGTGTTTCGTTGTCTGACGATATTTTAGGCCGCGGCCCGTATGCAGAAACCATAGATACCCAGGAACATTCGGGACAGTCTGGTATTGTACAGTTCGTTGCGGCCATGTTTGCTCCACCAGCGACAGAACCAGCACATGCAGCACCGAAGATGTGGGTCTTTTTTTCCCGGAAAGGGCGTAGGCCCAGGGTTCTCCTTTAATGTGGTAAACTTGTCCCCGATGCCTCAACTGAGGTGGGCCGGCGGATTCTTTCCTTGATATATATCGAGGTTGAGGTGGGCCGGCGGATTAAAATTTGAGGATGTCCCAGGCGAAACGCTTGTTCCCGAAAAGGCCGCAGGCCAAGGGTTTTCTTTTAGTGTGGTAAACTTGTCCGCGGTGCCTCAACTGAGGTGGGCCAGCGGATTCTTCCCTTGATAAATATCGCGGTCGAGGTGGGCCGGCGGATTAAAATGTGAGGATGTCTCAGGCGAAACGTTTTTTTTATCCCTATCGATAAATCACAGGGTGCGGGCCACACTTTCGTGTGTTGAGCATGTCTCGAGCGAAACGCTTGCTCCGCAGAGTTACCGAGGATGTCTCGATCGAATCGCTTGTTTTGTAGAACTCTGGGGGCGGGACGGTCCCTCAATCTCAGGACTCGGATGCAAAGGAGGACTCGATCCACGACGCTATAGAGCACAATCGCGCCATGGCACATCGCAATTCAGAACGGTGCAGCACAGCACAGCCCTCGGCACGACTCGGCACAGTACATCAAGATCGATACACTCAGCATTGCATTGGCCCGTCACCCAATCAGGTGTCTTTGAAAACGCTGCCATGTGTTACAGTTCTATATTCCTTTCCGGGTTCGTGGGTCGATCATGTTTTTGAAATCCCGATCGATAAATCACAGGGTGCGGGCCACTCTTTCGTGTGTTGAGGATGCCTCGAGCGAAGCGCTTGCTCCGCAGAGTTACCGAGGATGTCTCGAGCGAATCGCTTGTTTTCTAGAACTTGAGGGATCTGGGCGCCCCAGAAATTTGCCTTCCCGTGTACCAGCCCCAGCACGACCACCCCCCAGCACGACTACCCCCCCAGCACGACCACCCCCCAGCACGACCACCCCCCAGCACGACCACACCCCAGCACGATCACTCCCCAGCACGACCACACCGCCTTGGTTGAGTGGTTGCCTGTCGTCGTGGAATGTTTCGTGGGGTGTCTCGTGGACTGTTTCGCGGGGTGTCTCGTGGAATGTTTCCAGGAAAACGTTGAAAACGGTCGCCCGTGTCTCGTGGAATGTTTCGCGGGGTGTCTCGTGGAAGTGCCCGTCGCCCAATACGGTGTCGTGAAAACGTTTCCATGCATGCGGTTCTATATCCCTTTCCGGGTTCGTGGGTCCATCATGTTTTGTTGCGCTGAATACCGAACTTTGTCACGCATGCACGGGGATTGTTGCGCCACAGCCGAGCTGGGAGCTGGTGGCAGCTAGTGCCGACGACGACAAGTAATTACGATGGTGATGGCAATGATAGGGCAAGAGGGGGATGAGGAGCAGGAGAAGGACAGGGAGGAGAGGAGGGAGAAGGGGGTGAGGCGAAAGGAGGGGAGGAGGGGTAGGGAAGAGCAAAGGAAACGAGGGTCGAGGGGATCCGAGGAAGCGACGGCGACGGGGACGACAACGGTGATTCGACGGCGGCGACGATAACGCCAGCGACGACGGCGAGAAATGCGTTGACGACGACGGCCACGGCGCGACGGCGGCGTCAACGACGACGACCACGACGTTGATGACGACGGCGGCGATGACGACAACGACGATGACGGCGATGACGGCGAAGCCGACGACGACGACGACGACGACGACGGCGACGACGACGGCGATGACGACCACGGCGGCGACGATGGCTGCGGCCGCGGCGGCGACGGCTGCGGCGACGGCCACGTCGACGACGGCGACGACGGCGGCGGCGGCGAGAACCCCTCCGCCCAGGCCGCTCGGCGCGGGCGCCGGCTGGACGGGGCTCCTCCGCAGGCGCGCCGCGCAGGCGTGCCTGCCGGCGGCCGCGCTGCTGGCCCAGCGGGGGGCCAGGCGCGGCGACCTGCGCCGTTCGCGGCTCGTCGTCGTCGTTGCGGCGCGGAGCTCCGAAAAACGCATTCTGTTTGAATCCCATGGTTTTTCCCGGAAAGGGCTTAAGCCCAGGGTTCTCTTTTATAGTCTGTTCCCCCCTGGGTTTGACCTGAGGTGGGCTGGCGAATTTCTTTTGCGACCAATATCGAGGTCGAGGTGGGCCGGCGAATTACAATTTGAGGATGTCTCACGAGAAACGCTTGTTTTCAGAATTTGTTGAGGATGTCTCGAGCGAAACGGTTGTTTTGTGTTATAGATTGTCCTCTCTTGGGGATTAAAATTCAGAGGATCTCTCAAGTGAAATGCTTGTTTTCACGTGCCCAGGTCTTGAGGATGTCTCGAGCGAGACGCTTGGTTTCACGTCTACAGGTTGCCCAGGCAGAGGTCTAACGTCAGGATCTTGTTGAGGATGTCTCGAGCGAGACGCTTGGTTTCGCGCGTCCTCGTCGCCCAGGCGGATGTCTAGCATGAGGATGTATTGAGGAAGTCTCGATCGAGATGCTTGTTTGCACGTGTCCAGGTTGCCCAGGCGGATGCCTAGCATGAGGATGTGTTGAGAATGTCTCGGGAGATACGCTTGTTTTCACGTGTACAGGTCGCCCAGGTGGATGATGAAGATGTGTTGAGGATGTCTCGAACGAGATGTTTGCTTTTACGTGTACAGGTCGCCCAGGCGGATGTCTAGCGAAACGCTTGTTTTCATGTGTCCAGGTCGCTCAGGCGGATGTCTAGCATGAGGATTTTGACAGGATGTCTCAAGCGAAGCGCTTGCCCCCAGCATGTTCCGTAGCGCGCCCCCTTGGCACGTCCCGCGGTGCGACCCCATGGCACGTCCCCTGGCGCGTCGCCTGGCGCGTTCCATGGGACGTTCCGCGGCGCGTCCTCCTGGCATGTCCCCAAGTCAACTAGCTCTGGAGCAGCTACTATGTGCTGTCGTGCCCCTGAAGGGCCCCTTTCGGGACCAACAGGGGCACGACACGTACACATTCCACAGATCGGCATGTGTGCCGATTGTCATGTGTTTTTTCCCGGGAAGGGCATAGGCCCAGGGTTCTCTTTTTTAGGGGTTCCCCTCCAGACCCGACGAGAAGAGGTCCAGCATAATTATTTGCGGTAACTAGCGAGGCGGGAAGATGGTTGGCGGCATTATGTTTGAGGATGTCCCGAACGAAACGCTTGTGTTTAAGCAATTGGTGAGGATGTCTCCAGCGAAACGCTTGTTTTGTGTTGTATGTTGTTTTACCTGTGAGGATGTACCGAACGAATCGCTTGTTTTTACTGCTTTTCAGAATTTGTTGAGGATGTCTCAAGCGAAACGTTTTGTGTTATACATGGTTTCTCTCTGGTGAAATGCTTGTTTTACGTATGTTCTGTTTTGGGGTATGTATTCGGGGCGCGCTTTTCGCTTCCCCCCGCCCCCCAGGAGGCCCCAGGAGGCTCGAGAAGCGTGAAAACGCATAGGTTCCTAACGCTCCAGGGCGGGACAACTGTGAAACCACTTGGGTTCCTAACGCCCCAGGGCGGATCAAGCGCGAGAACACGTGGGTTCCGAACGCCCCAGGGCGGGACAAACGTGAAAGAACATGGGTTCCGAACGCCCCAGGGCGGGACAAGCGTGAAAACGCATGGGTTCCTAACGCCCCAGGGTGGGGCAAGCCTAAAACCAGGTGGGTCCCCTGGCACGTCCCGTGGCACGTCCATTGGCACGTTCCGTAGCGCGTCCCTTTGGCACGTCCCGCGGTGTGTCCCCATGGCACGTCCCTTGGCACGTCGATTGGCGCGTCCCATGGGACGTTCCGCAGCGCGTCCTCCTGGCATGCTCCCCTGTCAATTAGCTCTGGGGCAGCTACTATGTGCTGAGGCAGCTCGAGCTTACGATCCAGATCGGTTCGGTCAGGATTCGGATGCAGAGGAGGACTCGGCACACAACACTGTAGGGCACAATCGCGGCATGGCAAATCGCAAGTCAGCACGGCGCAGCACAGCACAACCTTCGGCATGGTACATCAAGATCGATTCGTTCAGCATTACAATTTGGCACGCTCCTTGGCACGTTCCGTGGCAGGTCCCGTGGTGAGTCCCTTTCGCCGCGCGTCCCTTGGCAAAGCGCGTCCCCTTGGCACGTCCCGCGGTGCGTCCCCGTGGCACGTCCCCTGGCACGTCGCCTGGCGCGTCCCATGGGACGTTCCGCGGCGCGTCCTCCTGGCATGCTCCCCTGTCAATTAGCTCTGGGGCAGCTACTATGTGCTGAGGCAGCTCGAGCTTAAGATCCACATCAGTTCGGTCAGGACTCGGATGCAAAGGAGAACTCGGTCCACAACACTGTTGAGCACAATCGCGGCATGGCATATCGCACTTCAGCACGGCGCAGCACAGCACAGCCCTCGGCACGGTACATCACGATCGATACACTCAGCATTGCAACTTGTCACGTTCCCTGGCACGTTCCGTGGCTCCCTTCCCGTGGCGAGTCCCTTTGGCACGTCGCAGGGCGCGTCCCCTGGCACGTCCCGTGGCACGTCCATTGGCACGTTCCGTAGCGCGTCCTTTTGGCACGTCCCGCGGTGCGTCCCCGTGGCACGTCCCTTGGCACGTCGCCTGGCGCGTCCCATGGGACGTTCCGCGGCGCGTCCTCCTGGCATGCTCCCCTGGTCAATTAGCTCTGGGGCAGCTACTATGTGCTGAGGCAGCTCGAGCTTACGATCCAGATCGGTTCGGTCAGGATTCGGATGCAAAGGAGAACTCGATCTACAACGCTCTATAGAGCACAATCGCGGCATGGCAAATCGCAATTCAGCACGGCGCAGTACAGCACAGCCCTCGGCACGGTACATCAAGATCGATACGTTCAAAATTGCAACCTGGCACGTTTTTTGGCACCGTCCGTGGCGAGTCCTCCTGGCACGTCGCGCGGCGCGTCCCCTGGCAATTCCATGGGCACGTTCCGTAGCGCGTCCCCTTGGCACGTCCCGCGGTGCGTCCCCATGGCACGTCCCCTGGCACGTCGCTTGGCGCGTCCCATGGGACGTTCCGCGGCGCGTCCTCCTGGCATGTCCCCTGGTCAATTAGCTCTGGGACAGCTACTATGTGCTGAGGCAGCTCGAGCTTACGATCCAGATCGGTTCGGTCAGGATTCGGATGCAAAGGAGAACTCGATCTACAACGCTCTATAGAGCACAATCGCGGCATGGCAAATCGCAATTCAGCACGGCGCAGCACAGCACAGCTCTCGGCACTGTACATCAAGATCGATACACTCAGCATTGCGCTTGGCCGTCGCCCAATCAGGTGTCTTTGAAACGCTGCCATGTGTTACAGTTCTATATTCCTTTCCGGGTTCGTGGGTCGACCATGTTTGACGGCCCCCGGGGCCCGCCGAGGGCCTCGAGAGGCCGAACACGGCAAAAAACCTCCTCACTGACTTTTGTTTTGCGCTGGCTCTCTTGGCTCGCCCCCGAGTTCGGATGCAACTCCTGGGAGATCAAATTCTGATTTTGCCCTGGTCCGAAGTCCGGCTTAATCAGGCGTAGTCCCGCTTCACCCGGCTTATTCCCGTTTAGTCCCGTTTCATCCCGCTCAATCTTGCTTAGTCCGAGGCCTTTCCGGCGTAACAGCTCCCAGATGGGGCTTAATCCTCTCTAGTACTTCCGACGAAGACCTCCCAGTAGTTGCCTCCTAAATTAAGGAACGCCCGGTCGCACGCCCCTCCGGCGGGGACGACGGACGACGGAGGCAGAGAGAGCGGCCTTGCCGCGCAGGCGCGCGGCCTGCCGCCGGCGGCGTGGCGCGCCAGGCGCCTCGGGCGGCCGCCCCGCGCAGGGTCGGCACCAACGAACTGGGCACGGAAAGGAGGGGGTACAACTGCGGGCAATATTTATATCCATATCCAGTGCGTCTTGGACTGTCTTGGAAGGGGCGCCGCAAGGCCGAGGCGCACTGGATATGGATAAAAATTGTTCCGTTCGGAGGCAGGTTATAATCCATATCCAGTGCGCCTCATGTTTCTTGGCAAGAGTGTCCGAAACTCCAAGACGCACTGTATGTGGATAAAGACATTGCCCGCAACAACGCCCAACAGCAGTTCCTGTTCATTCTGAACGGGACTCGCTGTCCGTGCCGCCGCGGCCTGTGTCCATTTGGGACAAGAAGCCGCCTGCCCAGCAGCGGCCGCGGATGGTTTGGGACAGCACTTGTTGTTCCCCATATCCTAAGATGGGGTTCTTGTTATTACTTGGACGCCTCCTGCTTCTCCTTCTTCTCCTTCTCCTCCCCTCTCCTCCTCATACCCAGACTTACTCATACACAGACTGACTCACACTCAGACTTACTCATACCCAGACTTCCTCACACACCAAATTTTTCATACTCAGACCTACTCATTCTCAGACCTATTCCTACTCAGACGCACTCATGCTGAGACTCACGCGCACCCCGTTCGCGACCGTTCTGTGGGGATGCTTCAAGCGGCTTGCTTGTTCCCCATATCCAAAGAGATGGGGTTCTTGTTATTGGCAGACCGCGCAGGAGGAACACAGGAACACCCTCACCTCCTCTGGCTCACTCATCACTCAGACTCACTCATCACTCGGACTCAGTCATGACTCAGACTCATCGCTCATCACTCAGACTCACTCATCACTCAGACTCACGCATCATTCAGACTCACTCATCACTCAGACTCACTCGTACTTGTACTCATACATTCACTACACTCACTCAGGTCCACTCATCGGATGACTCTCACACACACTGATGTTGAGGATGTCTCAGGCGATTCGCTCGTCTCAGCACTCTAAGGGGAGCGGCGGGGGGGTATCTCACGGGGTCCCGTTCGCGGAATGTTGTGGGGATGTCTCGAGCGGTTTGCTTGTTTTCTGTGCCAGCATCCTTCGCGTTCCGAGAAGATTTGGAGGATGTCTCGAGCGAGGCGTTCATTTTCACGTTCCTAAGGGGGGCGGCGGGGGGGGTATCTCACGGGGTCCCGTTCGC